AGTTGTGGCAGAAAAACAAAAGAGATTACTGAATAAAGTTGACATCTCAGACTTCAGTAACATTATTAAAATATTTAGAAAGGGAACCTAATGAATTCACCTTTCTTCTCAAGACACATATCCCAAACGCTCCTCGCCTTTGAAAAGAACCTGTCAGCTAAGTAGTAATATATAATATATAAGGCGAAGATAGAAAGGCTCTTGAACAAAGCTCAACGTCAGTATTGTTCATTCACAGAAGGTAATGGATGAAATCAATAATTTGATCAAAATGCTTGAAAATTACTGAATTCCACTTTCCAAACGTGACATTTGGAAACCATGTGCTCAGAATTCACAAATCAAAAGCAGATGAAACATTTGCATCAGCTTTCTAGCAGACCTTAAAGGAGTTTCTCAAACTCTAGGGGGCAAATCCTAGAGAAAAGTTCCGGGCCTTAACAACTGCAGGGGATTAGTGCTACAAAACCGGGACCAAGTATGGGGTTGGGTCTTGACATGGATGGGTTGCATCATCATGAGTTTAAGCGGCAAGATTGGAGTTTCTTATGTCATGGTGTTCTGAGCCACAAAAGAACCAAGACTCTATCAAAGGCAGCAGGCGAGAACAACAAACTTGCTCCAGTGAAGAATACAAGAAGTTAATAAAAGCCTTCAAAACTGAAAATGTCTCATGGGAAATAGAGACCTATTTCAGACAATAATATTTCAAAACAAATTCACACTTGGCCTTCATGGACCCTCCAATCATTTAGAAGTATCTAGCCTTACCTAGAAATTTCACCTGGGCCTGTCTTTTCCCTTATATGTCCTGAGAAAGAGAAGTAAGGACAACAAAGGGAAATGATGAAGAGGTAGTTTCCCGCGCCCCATCCAGGCTCCATCACCCTCTACCTCCAGCATGTCACACCCTTGCTCTGTGACTGCACATGTACAGTTGCTCCGGTTCCTTTAGAAGACTGGGTCCAAGTTCTGCGGATCCTGAAACATATATAACTAGGGTAGTTCTTCTTCAAAAATTAATTGAAGCATGATGAATACAAAATTAGCTATAAACATGAATACTTGTTGAAAATGAGAAAAGAGTCACAGCAAAACCAAACCTTGAGCAACTGAAAATATTGCAAACATGATAAACTCCAGAAAAGATAACTCGTAAGGCTTTTAAATAATAAACTCTCTAACAGGCTCCTTAAATGTTCTTTTATTTTTGATTGTGTTTTCTATGATCACCTCTTCACATAATATAATTTTGTAATATATTTTTCTATAAAAGGAATAAAAAGAAAATTCAATCTTTTTAATATAGTTTTAGACATTGTTTGGTTGTTGTTCGTGTTGTAAATGGGGTCTGCCTGTGTAGTTCAGGCTGGTTTTGAACTCTTTATGTAACCCAGGCTGGCTTTGAACTCCACAACCACACTCCTGTCTCAGCCTCCCCAGTGCTGGAATTATAGGATTGTATTACCATGCCTAGTAGAAATTGTTGTTATTAATGATTGAAACAGGTAACACAAAAAACTTCAACATAGACGTAATTATTTTTTGTATTTTATAGTATAAACAAAAGTGTTTATACTATAATTTAATGCATAAAATGCATTACTGAATGCATTTATGGTGAGAAAAAACTTCTATTTTGAATGAGTATCAATGTCAGTTGAATTCTCAACTCATAATTTAAATGTCTGATGACTGGAAATATTTTCTACAAACTGGCATTTGTATTCATATTCTTCAAATCTTATTATTCCTCTTCTACTCATACAAAGGGTTGATCCAAAAACACATAGTTTAAACTTTGAAAAAATTACAATAAAAGACACATTATCATTAATCTCCTTCAAAATCTTCCCTGCCACTTGCAACATACTTAGCCCATCGTGCTTGCCACTTTCTGAAGCAGTTCTGGAAGTCCTTTCTTTGTGAATGTCTTTAGTAGCTCTGTCTTGCCTGACTTGATGTCCTGAAATAATTCAAAACATTTAGTTTTCGTGGTCATTTTGACTCTGAGGGAGAGCCAGAAGTTGCATGGTACCAGATCAAGTGAATCAAGTGGACGAGGACACCTGTTTTTATAAGCCTGCCTTGCCCTCAGATGGCACGTGGCTGCAACAATCACTGAAGTTGTGATCACGTCTTGTAAACACAATCCAGGTGTGATGGCGCACGCCTGTAATCCCAGCACTCAGGAGGCTGAAGCAGGAGGATCATTGCGAGTTCCAGACCAGCCCAGGTTACAAAGTAAGCTCAAGTCCAGCCTGAACTGCATAGCAAGACCCTGTCTCAAAAAAGACCAAAAAAAAAAAAAAATCTTGTAAACACTCTTGCAAAATCTCTGTGAGGTAGGCTGAGAAGACATATTCTTTTACCTTTCATTTATGCACTTATTCAATAAATTTAATTCACATTTTTTTATTTATTCAACATATTTATGTCCATATTCATTAAACATCTCCTATACAACCATCATTGTTCCAAAAGATGATTGAATTACTTCAGTGAACAAAAATGGCAAAATTATCAGCCCTCATCATCTTACATTTTACCACAATGTTCTACTTGTACCACATGAAAGTTTTGCTTCCAAAAATAAGAAACTTTGATTATAGTATTTATATACTGGATGCAATAAAACTTAAAACAGACACAAAAAAAACTTGAAACACTGTTAGTGCTTGACAAACATAACAAATGCATTGGCACTTGTAAGATCTTTCTGAGCAGTATAAAAGAAGTAAAATTTGCTTTCTTTTTCAAGAATAACAAAAGCATTAGAGTAACTTTAACCATTTTTATTTTGGTCATTGATTTAAGAATTTAAACTTTTGAGAAAGATTCCACAGTCCTCTACCTTTGGCCCTAGAAATAAGAAATAGTTTATAAGCTCATTCAGAATAGAGTTATTGGGTACTGGGAAAATGTATTATTATTAAGGATTAATATACTATTTTACAAAGCACTAAAAATGTAGGACGTGAGACCAAAGTTCTTGTATTAACACTAAGTGATCATTCAAATATGATGATTTCTGTGATTCTGACGTTAATTTAGATATGATTTTAAAATATGGTACATTTCAACTTTAAATGTTACTGCAGTAATACAAATTTCCATTAATCCCTCTCAAATGACTTCCCCTGTATTGAACACGGTTGCTCTATCATTCTTGCAACTTTCTGAAGCACGTCTGCACAGGCTTTATCATGCCTTTAGCTGCACTGCCTTGGCTGCCCCTATGTCCCGAATGAATTCAGAATGTTTACCTTGCTGGTTATTTTGACTTTAGAAAAGACCCAGAAGTCACAAGATCCTAGATCTAGTGACTAACGTGGCAAAATGACACATCATAATGTTTTTACCAGCCCGTCTTTAATTGAATGGCACTCAGTGGAAACATTCACTGAACTTTTGATCACATCACCTAAAACACAAAACAGAACTCCCAGAACTGCTCTAAAAAGTGGCAAAAAGAATTCCATAAGTGTGTTAGAAGTGAGGGTGAATGCTCTGAGGAGGATTAATGATTGTGCCTTTTACTATAATACATTATTTAAAATATAACCATTTACTGTATTGTTTGATCATCCCTGGCTATCTATTTTAGTATGTATTTAAACTCAATTAAACATCCATTAATGTCTTCAATAATTTGATTTATATTCATGAAAAATGTCCTAAAATCCCATTGCTGAGTTTGCACGTGACCAAAGTGGCTTTAACTACTACTACCAATTGCGCTATACACAGTATGAGTTTTATATTTAAATAGTTGTTCATTTTAACATGTTCTAACATAAAAGTTATATGATTCCTCTGTAATAAATACCTTATGTTATTATTCATATCCAATATTCAGAGAATATTAATGCTGCAATTCAGTAGTTCTTTTAGATTTATTTCATCCTCTTAATATTTTCTAACAAATCAGCTACTAGTGACTTTAAAAGCTAACTTGTAGAGAAATTTTCTCTATTCTCAATTTTTCAAAACTCCTGACAAACATTATTATTACTATAAAACCAAATTGCTAGGAATGCTGGCACACACCTGTAATCCCAGCACTCAGGAGGCTGAGGCAGGAGGATCGTTGCGAGTTCGAGACCAGCCTGGGCTACAAAGTGAGCTCAAGGCCAGCCTGAACTGCATAGTAAGACCTGTTTCAAAAAGAAAAAAAATAAAAAATAAAAAATAAATAAACAATATTGGCAAGAAGAATCCTAGGAAACACTTGTAGGGACATAAGTCCAGGTGTTTAAACTCATAATGTACGAACTAGATTTAACATTTTATCCATTATTTTGAAGGGTTTTGCATTAGATATTAATGAAACTGTAATATCTTCCTGTTTTGTTTCTCCATCTACAAAAGTACTAACCTCTTACCTACCTCCAAGAAATTGGCATTGATAAGTGAGAAAATCACCCAAGCCTCCCATGGCCGATATTATACCCTGGAAATAAATTAAACACATCTGGAAGCAACACTGAAACTCTTTCAGGCCACTGGGATGCAGCTGCAATCATTTCCTAGTAAACGATACTCTAGCATCATAGATGAATGTACTTTTAAGAGCCCATTTTACTCCCATAGAGAAATTGAAACCTTGGGAGATTCCCCCTGAATATTCAAAATATAATGAGATTTAAATCACATTTGCAATAGATCTGCTTTCCTTTTATTTTGTTTCCAAATTGTTTTATGTGCATCAACTCTACGTGGAATATCTTTAGAAGTCAGGAAACGGATCTCTCTTTTCATGCCCTTTGGTACTCAGGACCAGGATCCCTGTGAACACATACTATTTTCTGTTGCTGTTGGTTTTGTGGTGATTACAAATTCAAGTAAAATGAGGCATTCTCGCATTCTATTTTTAAACTTTTTAGATTGTTCTCACCGCTAGTATTGCAGGCTCTCCATTTGAAACCAGAGGATTCCCACTTAATTTGTCACAATTTTAAAAGTAATAACTGGGAAAACAAGCGAGTCGTACCTTTTAAATTATCTTCACTTCCTTGACAAATGGACTGCGGGAGACATTGGGAAGATGTCTGGGGGGTTTCCCGTTGCTGGGATGCTCTGGAGCAGCAAGAGTCCTGGGCTAGGCTGAAATCCATCAGGGAGGAAGTTAGAGGGGAGTCCAATGAGTCTCCATTTCAGGAGTCTGATACCTTAAAACTGCTTTCAGTTTACCTTTAGATAAATGGACAAAAATATCATCCCAGGGAAAAAAAAAATTTCAACTGTGAATGAGACCAGCAATGAGCTAGACTTTTAAAAAATAAATAAATAAATAAAAATAGCTCAGGTATAAGGTCGAGTTGATATAGAATGTCATTCATACATAGTCACCTTATCAAAGTACGCATTATTCCGGAGGGTTCTTTTTTTTTTTTAACTTTATTCCAGGTTTTTAAAAACGATAATTAGCTGTAGAAAATTATCACCTACCTCAGAGTACCCATGGCTACTGTCGCCTTCTGCCTGTCACTAGATTTTTAATTGAAAAATATTTTCATGCCCTGTGAGTGACAGTTTTTAAATTAACAATTCCTTCACATTAAACGGAAAAGAGTAGAGGAAGAGAAACACACCAGCATGCTTCTCCCCGGGAAGTCGGAGGATGTTGTCATTCAAAAGCAAGACTCTGAAGCTCGCGTGCCCTGCAGGCCACATGATACGTGTTTCACACTTTCTACGCCCTCACCGCTGTAACTCAGAGCTTAATGCAAGGCAGTCACAGGCTTCTACACATGAAATTTGGCACAGTTCCCTAAAATATTGAGTTTGTCTATTTTGTTCTGTCAACGTCTGAAGACCAAAATTCCTCTCAGAGTCCAAAATGTAAAGGGGAATAGTGTATTTTTTTTCCTTTAACTTTCATGACTTCAGCCTCTGACAGGAGCCTTAATTTATTATAACTACTACAAGGAGCTACATTTTAGCATCAAGTGCTGTAAGTCAGCTCCAAGCACCCAAGCCTGCCAACTCTAATTCATTTGACATGAGCCGAGATGCAATCATTTATTTTCCAACTAAGAAGATTTGTACTGCCTTTTATAGTGAAAGAACCTGATATACCTTCAGAAGTTATTTCAAATTCACAGGAGTTTTATTGACAGTCATGTTCTGAGAAATTAGTGAAGATGGAATGGAATAGAATTTGGAATGGAATGGAACAGAATGGAACAGAATGGTACAGAATAGAATAATCAGGTTTTAAATCCAAAAACATGTTAAATTCTTCCGACACTGACCTCAGTGACTTAGTCAATGACCTAAGAAAGTTGGCCAGTTAGAAATGTCCAGGATTGGTGCCCAGGGCTGGGAGAGACATTTTTGGACAGAGTGAGTACATCAAAAATCAAATTAGTGATAAAATGAAATTTTTAAAGACTGGTAGACTAAAGAGATATTTAGAATTTCCACAAAACTAAGTAATGTTTAAAGTAATCTTACTAATAAAAATCAAATCAAAACAAAAAATATTTGTTGACTTTCCAAATACAAAGCTAACCTCTAATGGAAGATATGAATAGAAGAGTTTATATTTGAGGAAGATGGAAAAAACACAAGATAAATAACATTCTAAACAATAGAAAAAATTAGAAAATTATATATGAATAATAAATAAATTGTATAGTCAATGAGTGCCAGGAGAAATTGGAGAGGGAAAAAAATTACTAAATATAAAAAGGATGCATCTTTAGGATTTAAGAAGAGATTTAAGAGAAAAATATTTTATGAATTCCTTTTTCAAAAATAAATGTTTCCAAAATTAAGAAATCATAATTCTTATCATCTTACTCTTTAAGAATTTTTTAAAAAGTAGCGTGCAGGGCTGAGAATATAGATCAGTGATAGAGAACCTGCCTAGCAGTACTCTTATGAGGTGCTACGTTCAATTTGTGCATGTGCACACATGCACGGATACACACACACACACAAACACACATGGCACAGAAAAAAGAAAGAGAGAGAAACAGAAGAAAAGAAACTAATCTAAAAAAGTACTTCTGAATGGGTAAAGATCACGGGGGTCTGATTGTTAACACAAATCGTGCAGGTAGTGAGAGAGTTTATTCATGAATATTGGTGCAAAATTCCCAAAGTGAGTCTTCCAAAATTTTAAAAACAATAAAATCAGGACTTACCTGTGTTTCTTCCAAGAATGCAGGGATGGTTTAACACAAGGCAGGATTTTTAAAAATAATTTAATTATTCACAAATCTGAAAACCATTGTTATCTTTAATTATGCAGAGAAGTATTTCAGAAGATCCAACTATCGTATATGAGAAAACTTTCAATAATAACGGAGAATTTCTAATTGGATAAAGTACAGCTCAGAAAAATTCACAAATATACTACTCAACCATAAAACTTTAGTAAAAATTGTTAAACTCAGAGTGCCCACTGTCACCATTTTGATCCAATGTTGTCTTTAGAGGTTACAGTCAGGGAAATATGACAAGAAAAATTTAGAATCCAGGGCTAGGAAATGAGAATTTTCAAATGATAGTATTATCCTCAGAGACAATAGAAAATTCATTAAAATAAAGTATGAGAATTATCAAATTTATCAGATCATTGGATTTATAACTAACAAGCAAGAAGTTCATTTTATTACACTAACAACAAACAGAAACATAATGTTTCAACTAAACCATTATTGCCACAAAAATTTAAAGTTGTGTACATCTAAATATGACAAAACACATGTCTTCAGATAATTCAATTGAAAAACTTGAAAAACACAAAAAATTAATAAATTCAAAGATAGATAATGATAACATTATCAAAGATATCAATAATAGGTAATCATCGACATGTCAAATCCCTTATTAACTCATAAACTCAGTGTGAATCCAATCAAAATTGCAAACAGGTTTTTTCTAAAATGTTAACAGTTAATCTTGAACATGCTTAAATGAATAAAGGCCTGTGACAAAAATAACAATCACAAGGCTTCTGACTGACTTTCCAGGTATTAGATATTAGAAAACTATAAGAATTAACACATTTTAATTTGTGGTGCAGAGATAGAACAAGAAGAAAAAGAAAGCACAAAAAGAAATAGATTTTGTGTAGAAAATTGAGTTACAATCAAAATTAATTTTAGATCACTGACAAGAGAATATATTATTAAATATATGATGCTGAGACAATTAACTTTTCAATATCATTTCAATAATAAATATTTCATTAAAATTCATACAGAGATATATAATGCTCACTTCAAGAGCACATATACATGCCAAGATATATAAAAACTTACAGGTAAAAAGAAAACTAGAGGGGGCAGATTCACTCAGCAGTAGAATGCATGTTTAGCATGCCCAGTGCTCTGAGCTCAATTCCCAGTACCACAAAATAAAAAACAAATACACACAATAACAACAACAAAAAGTAGAATGAAGGAAAAACTTTTACAAGTCACATACACAATAAGGGACACGTATCCAAAATACATAAAGAACTACTAAAACTCAACAATAAAAAGACAAATAATCCAATTAAAAATTAGACAACGTATTTAAATAGTTCATTAAAGAAGATACACAAATGTCTGGGAAGCACATGAGAAATTGTTAAACATCATTAGTAATCAGAGAATTGAAAGCAAAGCCACAGTGAGCTGTCACTTCACACACATTAAGAGGGCTACAAAGAAAAGACAATAACAAGTGCTGATGAATATGTGGAAAAATTTGAACTCTCAAAAATTTCTACATCTGGTAATCTGAGCAAATTTGTTGAAGATAACAATATGTAATATAACAGCTACTGTTAATTCCTATCATTTTGTTCTGAAATTCTCTATCATTTTTATTGTTTTTGCTTTGTCTTGTTTTTGTCTATGTTGTAGGCATTTTGCTATTCTTTTTTTTTTTTTTTCTTTAAAATGAAAAGAATTCTGGTAAAGACGTCAAATGTTGCAGTATTTTGGAAAGTTCTTTGGAAATTTTCAAAAAGTTTAACCATTTCTATATAACTCAACAACTCTACTCATAAGTGCTGTATATGTCCAAAATAATTGAATATATACATCTACAAAAATTTGCATATTAACAAAAAAGTAGAAGGCATGCTATATCTCTCATTGAATAAGCAGATACAGAATGAAACATTATTTAGAAAAAGAAATGAAGTGCTGATACAGTCTACAAAATGAATGAAACTTTAAGACAATCTGCTTAGTGAAGTTCTCCAAAAGGCCACATATTCATTTAAACAAAATCGTATAAACGAAATGTACAGAAAATCACCAAATAACAAAACATAACCAGGAGAAGGAAAAGCAACATATAGAACTGCTAAATAATTTGTATCCATACAAAAAAAGTATTTTCAAACTAATAAGCAAACGATAGATTCCACAAAGAAAAACAAGCAAAACACATGAACTAACCATTTGACAGAAGAGGAAATATGAGTAACAATTCAATCAGCACATTTTTTTAAAGGCTCATCTTTTCGCATATGTAAAAAAATCATTTAAAACATCGGTAGAACCACATTTTACACGTACTTATTGAGCTAAAAGTAATATGATAATATCAAGATTTGGCAAAGACACAGAAAACTAGAAACATGCACAGCTGCAGATGATGTAAATTAGTGCAAGCGATTTGCAAAACATTTGACAACTGCTAGCCAAGTTGAAAATAAAGTGCTCTGTGACCCAGCAAGTCCATTTCTAACTGGTAAAATTCAATAAGAATACCAGGTTATTAATATAGGACTGCTTGTGACACTATCATTGATAACACTAAAAATAGGAATAGTTCATGTCAATATGCAAGAGAGGAGATTAATGGTGACACATTTATCTAGTGGGAAAATCAAGAGTAAAGTGGAGGTATATATCTCAAACTACATTAATCCTGATTATTTACATTAAGCATTAAAAACAGTGAGCTGATGTATGTATCCAGTTCATGAGCATAAACATAAAAATTTAACTATTCATGTGATGTAAACATAAAGAAGTGTACAGAAACTTTAAACATCAAATTCCTCAGAGAAGTGGAGATAAACATTTTGTAGATACAATTGTGTGTACAATGTATTATTTCTGAAATTATAGTAGGTATATTAGATTAGG